TTTATCTTTATGTATGTTCCTGTTGCCATTTTCTTAATTATTTTGGGTTTGTTTTTGTAGGTCTTTTTCTCTTGTGTTTCCCACCTAGAGAAGTTCATTTAACATTTGTTGTAAGGCTGGTATCCATTCATCTGTTGATGGGCACTTCGGTTGCTTCCATGTCTTTTTTTTTTTTTTAATTTTATTTATTTATTTTTGGCTGCGTTGGGTGTTCATTGCTGCGCGTGGGCTTTCTCTGGTTGCATAGAGCAGGAGCTACTTTTTGTTGCAGTGCATGGGCTTCCCATTGTGGTGGCTTCTCACTGCGGAGCACAGGCTCTAAGCACATGGGCTTCAGTAGTTGTGGCTTGTGGTCTCTAGAGTGATGACTCAGTCGTTGTGGTGCACGGGCTTAGTTGCTTCACAGCATGTGAGATCTTCCTGGACCAGGGATCAAACCCGTGTCCCCTGCATTGGCAGGCGGATTCTTCACCACTGCGCCACCAGGGAAGCCCTGCTTCTGTATCTTGGTAGTTGGAAATAATGCTGCTATGAACATTGGGGTGTATGTATCTTTTCAGATTAGTGTTTTCATTTTTTCTTCGGATATATACCCAGGAGTGGAATTGCTGGTCATATGGTAGTTCAGTTTTTTGAGAAACCTCCATGATGTTTTCCACAGTAGCTGTACCAATTTACATTCCCACCCAACAGCATATGAGGGTTCCCTTTTCTCCACATTCTCACCAACATTTGTTATTTGTGTTCTTTTTGATGATAGCCGTTCTGACAGGTATGAGGTGACATCTCATTGTGGTTTTGATTTGCATTTCCCTGGTGATTAGGGATGTTGAGCATCTTTTCATGTTGGGCATATGCATGTCTTTGGAGAAATGTCTTTTCAGGTCTTTGCCCATTTTAAAATCGAGTTATTTGTTTTTTTGATACTGAGTTGTATGAGCTGTTTGTATGTGCATTGTGGATGGATGTTTTATTGGTTGTAGATTGAAGGGGAGAGACCATGGTAGTGTTTCACTCTGCCATGTTGCTGATGTTACTCCCTCTGCTCTAATTCTTATTTCATTTTTTCTGCTTACTTTGAATTTAATTTGCTCTTCTTTTTCTAGTTTCCTAAAATGGGAACTTAGATTATTGATTTTAGATCTTTCTTTTCTAATACATGCATTCAGGGCTATAACTTTCCCTCTAAGCACTGACTTCGCTGCATCCCATAGATTTTGATAAGTTGTGTTTTCATTTTCATTTAATTCAAAATATTTTTCAGTTTCTCTTCACATTTTTTCTTTGACTCATGTTATTTAGAAGTGTGTTGTTTAATCTCCATGTATTTTGGGATTTTCCAGTTATTTTCTTTTTTTTTTTAGAGAAACTGCTCATTTGTTTTGTAAAGTGTCCTACAATCTGGACTTTACCATTGTTTGACTGCAATGATTTGACATGTTTCTCTGATCCTTGTGATTCCTATAAATTGGAAATTAGAGGTAGAGGCTTGATCAGATTCAGGTTTGATGTTTGGTAGTGCCCTATACTTAAGGGTGTTAATAAAGTCTGATTGCCTGGTTGTTTTTCACTTTTGGTGGCCATAGATGATTGTTACCTTCCTAGATTTATTAAATCATGAGGGGTTCTTGTATGTATGACTTAATGTTTATTACTCTCAACTTTCCTGGCTTAGAGTACTTTGTTTTTCTGTTTTTTTATTTTATCCTTGGTTACTATTCCACAATTTCGTTTGTATGCCTCTGTTTCTCCGTATATACGTTAAATGTTTTATGTTCCTCAAGTTTCTGTCTTGGGTACCCTTCTCACTTTGTACACTACCTGGGTAGTTTTGTTTGGTTTAGCTACCACTTCTACTTGAATTTCCCAGATTTTCCAGTGCAGGTCTTTATTCTAAGCTCCAGAACCACATATCCAGGGTGCCTCTTACGTATCTTATAACTCTTCTCTGGGCTGCTGAATCATCATATTCTTTTGGTTTTCTTCTACCTCAGTGGCTGCTGCTTATCTGTCTGCTCATCTAGCTTCCCTTGAAGGGTAGTACAGAAAGGGTAAGAGTTCTGGCTTTGGTGCCAGACTATTTGGGTTTGCCACCATTTCCATGGGCCAGTTACTTAAGTTCCTTATGCCTCATCTCATCTGTAAAGTATGACTAATAATAATACATACTTCATTGGGTTTTATGAGGATTCAGGGAGTTAGTATATCTAAAATGTTCAGAACATTCAAAAACGGTTAGTTATTATCATGGCTATTATTCCTCATTCTGCTATTTGATCTTAAACGTAGATGCTTTTTGGTACTTGGTCCTTGTTCCTCTTCTTCTTACATTTTCATGTCATCCATTCCCATGGTTTTAAATACTGTCTCTATGCTGATTAATTCCAAATGTTTATGCTTCAGTCTTTTAGATTTAAAATATGTAGAACTGAGAAGACCTCGGCTGATCTTATGGGAAGTCCTGAAAGTGGAATAACTGCTCAGATCTGTGTTGCATTAGGGCGTGAGGGCTGGATCTTTATACCTCCCAAAACAGTCTTGGGAAAGTGGTATGACCATTCTTTTCAGCTGATGCAGTCCCCATAGATGAGGGCTCTCAGTTGGTGGCATTCCCAGAAGCTCAAGTAGTAAGTCCTTTATCTTTAAATGTGATCTGGTGTCCCATCACAGGATCTGCTACACTGCCATGTCCTCCCATCTCCAAATCTTCCTAGTTGTTCAGTGACTTAGGAGTCATTTTTCATTCCTCCTCCCTCTACCCTTGATTCTGTTGACACATTTTCTGTCTTCAAAATACATATCTCTTGGGCTTCCCTGGTGGCACAGTGTTTGAGGGCCCACCTGCTGATGCAGGGGACACGGGTTCGTGCCCCGGTCCGGGAAGATCCCACATGCCGCGGAGCGGCTGCGCCCGTGAGCCATGGCCGCTGAGCCTGCGCATCCGGAGCCTGTTGCTCTGCAACGGGAGAGGCCACAACAGTGAGAGGCACGCGTATCACAAAACAACAACAACAACAACAACAACAACATATCTCAAACGTTCTTTTCCTCCTAGCCCCTGTCATTGACACCTTTCTCTTACTTCTCTCCTGGTCTCCCAGATGGTGTCCTTACCTCAATTCTGCCCCTCGCCAAGCTCTGCCACACGGCAGAGAGCAGTCCTCTTATGCCTTAATCAGATCTGTCTACACCTCTGCCACGCTTTAAAGGCTTCTCCTTGTACTTAGGATAAAATGCCAATTATTTAACCTGGCCTGTAAGGTCTGACTCTTGCCTCTGTCTCTAACCTGTCAGATGCTGGTATCCCCTTTACCAACTATGCTTCAGTCACACTGCTTTTCTCTCATTTCACAGAAAAAGCCAAGCTCTTTCCCATATCAGGTCTTAGCTCCTCATGTCTGGAATGACAGCTGCCTTTGCTTTTCATATCCTTTTGGTCTCAGCTTAAATGTCGCCTCCTCGTACCTCACCGAGAGACAGAAGATTCTTGTCCTCCTCCTCCTTTTCCCCACCCCTATATTATATTCTTGTCTTGTTTGTTTCCTTTAGAACACTGACTACATTTTTAATGTTAGTAGTATTCTGCTTGTTTTATATTCTTTTGTATCTGTGTTCTCCTTCTAGGATGTAAATAAACCCCAAGATGGCAGGAGCCATGTCTATCTCATTCACCATTCTCAGCATGTAGCATAGCACTTTGCATACCTTGAGCACTTGATATTTGTTGAATAAATGTAATAAGTTCCTTCTCAAAGCCTTGAATATTGGGGTTTCCTTTTTCCTATCTTAGTAGCACAGCCCAACTCAAACTGGGAACTTGTGAATCATCTTATACACCTTTTTCCTCAGTTCTTTCCCCTAGTCCATTCAGCTACCATGTTCTGTCAGTTTAAACTTTCATTTCTCATCATTAAAATCATTAATAATCTCTTGCCCCATCTCATTCCCATCAAATACCATCCTAATTCTTTTACATTATCACATAATTGGTCTTTCTAAAAAAATAATTATGACCATTCTTTTTTTTTGCTTATTGAGTTGTTCATTATTGTTTATAGGGTAAATGTCTGAGTTTCCTAGCTTTGTTTACAGGCCCATCTGCCTTTTACCTCCCTCTCCATTTTCATTTCCAGCCATGCTTCCCCTTGTACGCTATGGGCCAGTAGCACTGATCTACTTAGGGTCATTCTGAAAAATCTGTTGTTCTGTGCCCCTATGTCTTTGGCATGTTCTTCCACCCTTCACCTTCACCCTGGGAAACTGATATTCCATCTTAAAAACCTTCCCTGATGTTAACCTCATTTGTATTAATTCAATACCTGGTATGAATCACCATTGGATATAATACATTATTATAATAATTTATTTGCCTGACATGCTTCCTAGACTGAATTCTTTATGGTCACAGGTGTCTACCTTGTGAGCCTATTACTTAACATGGGACCTCACACATAGAAGATGCTTAGTAAATCGTTTCTAAATGAAATCTAGTATAACCCACTCATTTTACAGATGAGGAAAATGAGGCCTAGAGAGGTAAGTGACTTACCAAAGGCTGTGCACTAATTTGGTTAAAAGTAGTCATTAGTGCTGTTTTCATATTATATACCCTATACTTACCTACCTCTTTTATTTTGTTCTTTTTTTTTCTGTGAACAAGATTGCTGTGGTTAAAACTGTGGGCTCTGGAGTCAAACTGGTTTTGATTCTTGATTCTGCCACACATTTTGACCTTGAGCAAGTTACTTAACCTCTTTAAGCTTGAGTTTCCTCGGCTATAAGATAGTAATAATCATAGTTCTTTTATGGTGTTATTGTAAAGAGTAAATGAGATAATTTGAGTAAAGGGTTTAGAACAGTGCTTGGCACAGAGTAAGCGGTAAATGTAGGTCATTATTGTTGTTATTATTAGCATCTGTCAAAGTTCTTTGGCCATAACACCTCCTGGAAAAGGCATGAGATTTAGTTGTTATTACAAGCTGGTTCTGGTTCTCTTATAGGCAAGCTGACTGATAGAACGGCAAGCATTTTCCGAGGCAACCAAATGAAACTGAAGCTGGTCAATATTCAAAAAGCTAAGATATCTACAGCTGCATTCATAAAAGCCTTCTGCCATCACAAACTCATTGAACTGGATGCTACTGCAGTACACACTGACCTCTCAATTCCAGACATCCTAAGTGGACTCTGCAGCAATAGCTGGATCCAGCAAAACCTCCGATGTCTCCTGTTGGACTCAACAAGCATCCCTCGAAATTCAAGACTGTTGTTCTTTGGTCAGCTCACTGGTCTTCGCATCTTAAGTGTTTTCAGTGTTTGTTTTCATAGTGAAGACCTGGCTAATGTTTCTCAGTTACCCAGACTGGAAAGCTTGGATATCTCAAATACTCTGGTCACTAACATCTCTGCACTCCTTACCTGTAAGGATCGACTCAGATCTCTCACAATGCACTATCTAAAATGCCTGACCATGACCAAGCCACAGATTCTCGCAGTCATTAGAGAACTTAAATGTCTGCTTCACCTTGATATTTCTGATCACAGGCAACTCAAGTCAGATCTAGCTTTTCATTTGCTACAGCAGAAGGATATTCTGCCTAACATTGTGTCACTGGACATTTCTGGGGGCAGTTGCATCACTGATGAAGCTGTAGAACTGTTTATACAGCAGCGGCCTGCGATGCAGTTTGTGGGACTATTGGCTACGGATGCTGGTTATTCTGAATTCTTTGCTACAGCGCAAGACTTGAGGGTTTGTTCTTTACTGAAATAAGTTTGTTTCATTTGTTCAAAACATTTTAAAGTTTTTGTTGTATATCAGAATCTGTACTAGGCATTAGGGTTACAAAGACAGATTAAAAAATTCTTAAGGAGCTTAATTAAGAATTATTGCGTAGCTACTGTGTGGTAGGTTGTGAAAATATAACCTTAAACAAGATACAGTCCTAGCCTCCACATCTTCTAGTCTGGTTTGATAATGATAAGCAGAGCCATTTATACATTACCTCTTATGTGCCAGATGTCATGCACATTGTTTTTTTTATGGATGAGGAAATGGAAGCTCAGGGAAGTTAAGCTACTTATCCACAGTCATAGAAGTATTAAATGATAGAGCTGGGACTTGTATCCTGGTCTTTGTGACTCTAAAACTAGTGTTTTCACCTCTAGTAACAGCTAAATATAATGAATAAGGCAGGTGATCAATATGCCTAACACCATTTTTGGTGAAGGTATGACAAAAAGCAATTTTTAAAAGAGTCTTAAGTAAAAAATATTGAACACTGCTGGAATATGTTTATAGCCTCTCATGGTGCTGTTTTTAAAGCAGCATATATTTAAATATTTATGTCCTAGAATATTTCTCTTTTAAAACAGTGGCTTTCTACCTCAGTTGTACATTGTAAACACTTTGGAAGCTTTAAAATACACTGATGCTTGTGTCCCATTCCCCAGAGATTCTGATTTAATTGGTCTGGGACTTGTTCTGGGCATCGAGATTTTGAAAGCTTGCATGTAATTCTATTGTTCAGCCAAGGTTCAGAACCACCACTTTAAAAGAACCCCTTTAAAAAAATAATTATAGCTTATGTAATTTTTCCTAGGGTGAGAGAGAAAAGTGATTTACAGTCATTAGTTTTCACAATTTTATTCTTTTGATTTGAAAATAGCAATTGTTGTATTTTAAAGTCCTTTTAATTTTCTGGCTTGTTAATGAAGGTGGAAGCCATCAGTTACATCATTAAGCTACAAATAGATAATTTGAACTTTCAAATTAAATGTGTATAGTAGAGAATTGTTTACCATGAATGAACACCTAGGCCAGTTTCAGATTAATGGCATTAGCGTCACAATGATCAAAAGACAACAGTGATTAAAAAAATAGATTTTAACACATCAACTCCTGATATATACAGTAATATTGGACAAGTGGTAGACAGATTATGCATGTAGTTAAGATACTGTCAAAGTGGGTACACCAAAAGAAAATGAGAGAAGTTTTCTTTCAGTAAACTTTACCTGGTATACATGTAAGTTTAGTTTATTTTGAAAATTTTAAATTATGCCTTATATACAGTGTTGGATATTGTGGGGATGGAGAGGAGAGACCATAATCTTCCTAGTACTAAGAAACTCTAAAGATCTTAATCTAGACTTAACGTGGAGTGTAAGGTATGGTAAGTTTAAAAGATGTGTTTCAGAAAATCTTATATTTAAGAGAAATATGTATTGCTCGAATCAGATGCAAAATATACTAAGTATTTTTGTTTGGGTTAATCAAAAGTTTGCTTAAATTAAAATGGATAAAATTAAGTGTTAGTGAAAACCTAACAGAACAAGTATGTGTTATTTTCTGCACCCAATGTTAGAGTGGGCAACGTGTACTTAATTGCTTTAAAATGGGTGGAAAGGGCACCCGCCATTAGTATTAAAAGCCATGTAACATTTTCATTTGCTAAGAAACCCTTGTTGATCCACTGGTGGGGCGTAGCAAGAATCCCTTTTGAGGATTGTTTTGTAATGACATCTATAGGAAGCCCTGGAGAGAGAGGGTGATGCAACAGCTATCTGGTCTTCTGCTTAGCCTTACTATGGCTTATCCTTTGTTTCTCTTTCAGCTCTTACATCTGGATGATCACAAAACTTTAAAAAATTTTAGAATGTATCCAGCGTTTAGATTCTTAATAATGTGTAGGTCTTTGATCTATGTATAGTAGTTGAAAAATTATTTTGAAATAGGTTTTAACTTTGCAGATCACTAACTTTAAACATTTTTCCAAATTTGTTTTTTCATATTTTATCTCTGCATGCACGTGTACACACACGTGCACACACACACACGCACAGAGTTTTTTTCTTGAGGGTAGGTTGCATGCATCATGCCCCTCTGCCCCTTAACATACTTTAGTTTGTATATCGTAGAGCAAGGATAGGCTCAAATTTCAGGAAATTTAGCATTGATGCAATACTTTTATATAATCTACTATATATATTATCCCAGTAATGCCCTTTATAAAATATTTTTCCTTTTAGTCCAGGATTACTTCTGCATTCAGTTGTCATATTTCTTTATAATTTAAACTAGAAGAGTTCCTTAGTCCTTCCTGTCCTTTGTTACATTGATATTTTTGAAGAATACAGACCAGCATTGTTTCGTTGGCTTTTTTGAAGAATACTCCTCATTTGGGGTTAGTCTGATGCTTCCTCATAATTATATTCAGGTTCTCCCATCTCTGCCCGGAATACCACATAAGGGATGTTGTGTCCTTCCCAAGTATATTACAACAGGAAGCACACAGTGCCACTCATTAGTGAAGTTACTTTTCATCACTTGGTCAAAGTATTGTTCAGGTACTAGGTAAAATAACCAGGTGCAGATAAAATATTATCTATATACTGTTGTATTGTTCCTACACTACATAGGTAATACTATTCCTCTTGAAACTAATAAGCAATATATAAGATATTAGAAGACTATGCCAATATCCTGGTCCTCATCAAACTTTCTGATCTAGATACAGCATCCATCGATGTTTCTTACCTGAACCAATCTTTACTGCAGTGGTTGCAAAGTGGTGATTTTCCAACTCCAGCTCTTTCTACATTTAGCAAGTCTAACGTATCCTCAATGTGGACTCATTGATTCCTGATGTTTTCAGTGATTTATAATTCATTACTCTTCTTAATTATTTTGATGCTCAATTTGTCACAGGTTGGCCAATGAGAGCTCCCATGTCAGTTTTTACATGCCCCCATTTTTGTTGTTGTTATTATTTTGAGTACTTGTTTACTTTCTGGCAAACCAAGATGTTCTAGGCTTCTTATACTTCTCTGTTTTGGCCTTGGAATTAGACATTTCTCCCAGAAGCCCTGGTTCCTTTTAGGAGGAAACCAATATCTGAGCACTAGATGTGTTTTTAAGCCCTTTCAGCAAACAGAGCCAAGAAACAGATGAAGTAAGTTTAAAAGTGATACTTCCAAGTGACCATCCTCACACTCTTCTTTGCCCTTCCACATTCTGTATTTGTATCTCTCTTTCCCACACTGAGAACTTTGGCTCTCAAAAGCGTCAGCACATTTGCTTAATCCTACAACACATATAAAATAGTTTCAGAGTTGCTACACCTATAGTACTTGTTTTTTTCTTTTACATTATTTATTTATTTATTCGGTTGTGCCGGGTCTTAGTTGCAGCAGGAGGGCTCCTTAGCTGTGGGTGTCTGGCTCCTTAGTTGTGGCATGTGAACTCTTAGTTGTGGCATGCATGTGGGATCTAGTTCCCTGGCCAGGGATTGAACCCGGGCCCCCTGCATTGGAGCGCAGTCTTAAACACTGCACCACCAGGGAAGTCCCACACCTATACTACTTTGAAACACAAACCTACTAAAAAAAATTGATGTGTTTGCAGTTCTTTCTTTTCCCTCTTGACTGAGAGTATAGTCAAAGTACTAAGCACATATATTTAGGTTTTTAAATTTCCTCTTCTTACACAATAGGTAGCATAGTATATGTACTCTACACTTTGCTTTTTTTTGCTAAGCAGTATGTCTTGGAAATCACCCTGTGTTAGTTCATGTTCCCATTTTTTGGGAGGGAATGGTAAAATACATATAGCATAACATTTATCATTTTAATCTTTTTTAAGTGTATAGTTTAGTGGTTTTACCTACATTCATAATTTTGTTCAACCGTCACCACCATTCATCTTCATAGCTCTTTTCATCTTGTAAGGCTGAAATTCTATACCCATTAAACACTAACTCCCATTACCCCGTCTCCCTGGACCCTGACAACTCCCATTCTACTTTTGTCTCTATGATTTTGACTATTCTAACTACCTCATATAAGTAGAATCATACAGTACTTGTCTTTTTGTGACTGGCTCATTTCACTTTGCATAGTGTACTCAGGGTTCATCCATGTTGTGACATACTGCCTTTTTCAGGTTGAATAACATCCATTATGTGTTTACCACATTTTGCTTGTCTGTTTATCATCGATGAATACTTGGGTTGCTTCCATGTTTTGGCTGTGTTGGTAATTGTGAATAATGTTGTTACAAGCATGGGTATACAAATATCTCTTCGAGACCCTGCCTTTTTTTTTTGCTGTGCCACACAGCTTGAGGGATCTCAGTTCCAGGGATTGAACATGGGCCACAGCAGTGAAAGCCCAGAATCCTAACCACTAGGCCACCAGGGAACTCCCAAGACCCTGCTTTTAATTCTTTTGGTATATATCCTGAAGTGGAATTGCTAGATCTTATGGTAATTCTATTAATTTTTTGAGGAACTGCCATATTGTTTTCTACAGCAGCTGTACAATTTTACATTCCCAGTAACAGTGCACAGATCTTCCATTTTCTTCACATACTTGCCAACATATTATTTTCTGTTTTTGAATTTTAAATTTTTTATTTTTTAAAGGTTAGCAGAGACATTAAAAAAAAATTTTTAACATCTTTATTGGAATATAATTGCTTTACAATGATGTGTTAGTTTCTGCTATATAACAAAGTGAATCAGCTATATGTATACATATATCCCCATATCCCCTCCCTCTTGCGTCTCCCTCCCACCCTCCCTATCCCACCCCTCTAGGTGGACACAGAGCACCGAGCTGATCTCCCTGTGCTATGCGGCTGCTTCCCACTAGCTAGCTATTTTACATTTGGTAGTGTATATATGTCCATGCCACTCTCTCACTTCATCCCAGCGTACCCTTCCCCCTCCCCATGTCCTCAAGTTCATTCTC